AAAAAAAAATCTACTTTATATATATATTCAATTTTCGTATTAATATAAACAAAATGAAATTTCCAAATCCATTATAAACTCCCTATTCATGCAATCGATGTGCTGAAGCGACGAGAGATGCTGAAGCCATTACTTTAACTTCAAGAATTCGACACCCATAATCGGAATACTGAGATCTGATCCTCTTGTTGTTTGATAATTCACGTTTTGTTCTATTGTATCTTTCCTAATTGCATATCTACCGAAGACTTTTATACTAAATATAACATTTTCCAACTTTTAAAATGGAGTAATCATAGATAATAAAATATTCGAAAATAAATTCCTGCAGTTTCTAATAAAAAAAAAAAATAATAATAATAATAAACTAGAAAGAAATTCTTTAATAATTTACCTTTTATATTTTTATAAAAACTTTAAAATATAAATTTAATTACATGAAGAATTGCAGCTTGGTTCAAAAGTCAGGTAATTGTGCACGTTTTAAATACACTTGTGGATAAAAATCGCTTGTTTTTCTTTTATAGAATTGATATAAACACTATTTTAGAAATATAATTAAGTATTTAAGTACTTAAGTAAAGCAATAATTTAATATTTTCAATGGTTAACTGACTTTTGATTCACTGTGTATATTTAAACACTAATCAGTTTGACAGTATATATATTTTTTTAAATTTTTTAATAAAATTATTTATAAAATTTGATATACTATATACTGTAGAATATTAAATATTAATTAAATTAATTTATAATATTTCTGTATAAAATCTTACTTTGTTCCATGAATAGATCTTGTTTGGTAACATTTTCGAATATAGTTTCGGCTTCTTTAAGAATTTTAGAGCACAAATAATTAAAAAGAAAATTCGAGCTTCTCTGGTTATAATCTTGAATAAATCGACGAGTTTGGCATTGACACTAAATGAAATAAATAAATGAATTTATCAGAAATGTAACTATGCAGATTAAAATACGGAACTTAATTATACTTACAATTTCGCTTAATTGTAGGTAAATGACTTCGTGGGTCAACGAGTAACCAGAGTAATCTGGTGATGTCATTAAGGCCCAGCAATCGTCTTTAATGGCACATTGGCAGAAATCCGTTTCGCTGTTTCATAAAAGCATTCCACATTTTCAAATTTAATTTTATTAAAGATTTTCCTACTTTAATATTTACAATATCTTTAAATATTTAATTACAATTAATTATACATTCGGAATGAATTATATAATTTTATTTATTTGAAAGTAATTAGAATTATAGAATATACGCTACTCTCTAGTTTAAAATAGCTAAAAATAATTAGGTATTAAGTAATTAATTTTACTGATTAAAATGCTGTAAATCTCTACATTTGTACTTAACAAATTTGTGTCTAATTTATCTAATTAAATTTGTTTAATTGATATTTTAAATAGAAAAAAATGGCTGCCTAAACGAAGAAGAAATACATCTTTTACTTCCTATTTGCTAATAAATTGGATAATTCTGATTGCGATTAAAGAAGAAATTTCCTATACATTTTCCCCATTTTCCTTTTTTTTTATTCCTATAAAAATGATATTTCTTATAACTTAAAATGATTACAATTAAGTGATAAATAAATATTTAAAAGCTCTACAAAATATTGCTTTCCTAATATAGAATTTATTCGTAAAATTCGCATCAAAGTTACAATTATTTAAATAAAATAATGATTTATTTATATAATAATACTGCGCTAAATTATGCAAGGAACTTATAATTTATTTTATAATTTTGACAGGATATTAGCTTGCTGAAAAATTAAAATCCGCATAATGAATGTGTGTTATCCTTATCACACGCGTGTTATCCTTTGATCCGTTTTATTGCTCAAAAATCCATAAAATCTGCAAAAATGACAGCTTTAGACTAATCCTTTTTTTTTTATATTATGGAAAATAGAAGTTATTTAAGATCAATATTTGTACTTTAGTAGAAAAAAATATATTTATTTTAAATTGTTATAAAGTCTACTTTTGAAAGAGCATCTCCTAAAATTGAGGAGAATCTTTGGTCTTTGAGAAAATCCTGGGTTAGATTTTACAGCTAGAAATAATCGCTCTTCCGTTGAATCTCTTTGCTACAATATCTACACTGTATAAAGCTATTCGATAAAATCTTTTAAAACATAAAATATAGAAAATTTCGATAAAAATTCGAATTTTAAAGCGAACTTTACTGGTGAAGAACATCCATGATAAGAGGGGGGAAAAACATAAGAAAGACAGAAAATTCGTCTTTCATTTAATTAATTTTTAAAGAATAAAGTTTATAAATGGATAAAAATGTTATAAAATCATTGAATATTTAGAAATTTTAATAATTTCTAAAAATTGTTTTCTAAATAAAGAGAAAAATGCCCGTTTCCATCTTTATTTTCGTCGCCATTTTAAATAGATTCATATTTATTTATTTGTTTTTCTTTCTCTTCATACGTTTTTCTAGATGCTTTTATATTTTCTACGTAATTGGAGCTTAAAAAATGTTTTTAAAAAATCAATAATATATAAGTTATTTTGCATATATTAATTTAATTTAAATTTTTCATTAACGATTTATTATATAAAAATAAAACATACAAATCCCATGTCTGTAGATAATAATATACATTTAATTTTTTTTACAGTTGTATTCATTTTTATTTTAATTATTAAACTTGTTGGACCTTTTAAAAATATAATTTACTATTATATTCTACATTTTCTAATAAAATTATTTAAATTATAACTTTAAAGATTAGTAAAATTTACTATAAAAGTAAGGAGTTTTAACAGCAATTTTATAGCAAAGAAACTAGATTTTTTTTTAATTAATTTAATAATAAAATTAATAATTTTCATACTCTCTTCCAATGATTTCTGATATGCATTTATCTGATAGAGATTCATTAAAGTAGGTCTCATTGAAAACTTTTCTCTCTTGATTTTCGTTGGTTTTTCTACGTCGATAATCGAGAGACCATAGACCGTTCGTTAGTATGTTTCCAATGCCTAAAAATGGATCCAATGTTATTACAATAACCGTAAAAATAATATATATTTTTTTAATTTAAAATCTTGCCTTGATAATATACAGGTTGGGCATTCTTGATGTAAGGAATTCCACGATTTGCTATGGATTCTGCTTTACGTTGCAATTGAGAAATGATTGGAATTATATTTTGATATCCGTCTTTAACGGGTTGATTCAACAGAACTTGCAGTTGATCTGAAATTCAAATATTTATTTTTATATAGCGAATCTCTAACAACGACCACCTCCAAACAACGGCCAAGTTTTACGCACCCGTCAGTGGACGTTGTTTGCAGGTGTGATTGTATATTATTAAAATCTTATGCAATTTTTTATCATTTAAAGTCTTGAATTTTATTTATTTTTTTTAAATACTTTTCTTTAATTTCTTTTTAATCAGAAACTTTATTTAGCTTTGGCATTCCTTAAGAATTAAAAATTTGGCAAAAAGAATTTTTTATAATTATTCTAAATTGAACAAAACTCGATGTTTTTAAGGATTTTCTTCGTAATTAAATTTTTGTAGTTTACGAAAACAAACAGCACAGTTTGGTAACACTTCATCTATAATTTCAAGATCTTATTATACAGTAGTCCTCCTCCTTAATGCCATTGTAATTATCTCTGTTTGTCTTTCATCTCTCTTGAGAAGAACTTGCCTTAAGAACGGTCACGTGAATCCTCGGCTTTGACAGCAAATTTTTCTTTTTTTTTTTTTAAATATTACATAAAGCAATCTACCGAAACGGCTATTTACAATATTTACACTATTTTCGGATATATAAACTTAAAAAATTCGTAATAAATCCTACGATATTCGAGCGAAATGCATTGCTTTTAATAAAAAAAAATGGAGGTGTTAATTAAGTTTTTTTTGTTAATTACAAATACTTAAAGGGTTCCTTTTTCGATTAAATTTAAAATTTTTAGCCTACTGAAGTTAAAAATAGTATTGTTTTTTTTTTTTGCTTACCGTCGGCCATACGCACTCCTAAAACTCCATCCAAATTAATGTTTTCTATTTGATGATCCATGTATTCCAGGGCGCGATTGAGCGCTAGAATCGTCCTCAAGAGCAGTAAATTTTCGTAATTTACAGACTTGGCCATTGTCGAGTAGAAGAAGAAGAACAAAGACAACTTTCTCAGCATGATGAGAACCATTGCAATCAACAACGCATACCTTTTTTTTCCCCTTCTTTATACTCCGAATGACGTCGTCTATCATGTGATCAATTCCAACAAACAAGAAGAGAAAACTAGGATTTAAGAGGTTTAATTCGTAATTGAGTTTACTAGAATTTTACTTGTTATTTTTAGAATTTATTAAAGAATAATTTTGCATCTGATTAAATCAGTAGAATCAACTAAATGGGCGCTTAAATGGGATTAGTGGTAAAGAGGTTGACAGAACGGAGGACGTCCTGAAACTTTCCAGTTTAATCTCTTCAAAGGGTTTAACCTTAGCAATTTTTTTTTTTTTTTTTAGTATAGCAGCTATTAAAAATCCAAAAATGCCCCTAAGCGATTAATTAGTGATTTCTGTGCCAACAAGAGGAGAAAATTTTGTTATTGTAGTAGCGCGGCAGTGTTAAGGATCTATTACGGTTACCGATAATCCAATTAATCTTAATTAATTATAATTGAGTTGTTAGTGTATTAATTTACGCTCCACTGTGGATGTTTAGTTCGATTGTTAGACACAATCCTCCATTATTTCTAATAAACGTAACAATATTTTTACAATGGCGCCAGCAATTTAGCAGTTGTAGAAACAACATTTTATCCAATTTTCTAAATAATAATAATGAGAAATTATAGTTTGATCTTTATTAAACCATAAAATACTTTATTCTTGAATAGAATTTATTATTTTTTTATGTGACAGATAAGTTAAAAATAGCTATAAAACCAATTAATTTTCCCATTTTGGAGAAGATATTGAAAAACAGAGTATTTTGACAGTAATTTTTTTCTTTTATTTTGTTTCATTAAATAAAGAAAAAAAAAGAATAATAATTATAAATTTTTTTGGGTAAATTTTCATAGGACCAGTTATCGTAATAAGATAACTTGGAGTTATTCTTCCAATCTTTCAATTGCATTGACTATCTAATTTCAGGATGTGCTGCCCTTGACATGCAGGGATTCTTCCTCCCAATTTTACGCATTTTCCAGGTACAAGTTGAGTCTACGAAAAGATAAAACAATTTACTTTAATTACAATTAAACATTATATTTAAATAACGTAGAATAAAACGATTTAAAACTCGAATTAAAAATGGACAATTCCAAAAAGTTAATGATCCTAAACCTACGTTTATACACGAAGTAAGTAATTTTATCTTATTTATAATATAAATTTAAATGCCTCATTCTTTACAATTAAAGAATAAAAAGGTCTTTTATAGTTTTAAAAATTCGTTAAAGGTTTAAAATACGTACAAAACACTACTTAAATAACGATTATATCCAAGAAAAGTTTATTAAATAGCGAATTCTTACGACTTTTATTCTTAATTAGATGTCTAAATCTACCAGAATTATTTAAATTTAAGTCATAAATTTATTAATAAAATTAAATTTACATATTATTCTACTTACAGTCTGTATTTCAATGTGACAGTTGGGTTCTATTATTGGCGGTGGTGTAAGGTAACGTTCAAAGTCGAGTTTTCTTAATTCGTCTACGTTAATGTCTAATTTTCTTATAGATCCTGGACTCTGGCCCACTAACTTTTGAAAAATGGCCTAAATTCGTAAAGAAAATTTGATTAATTTCTACGCTTTTCATCTTCATAAAATTGAAACTTACCTTAGCTTTGTCATTAGGAGTCTTTGCGTATGTTTTATCCATGTCGTGTCGAATTGTATTAATAAAATTTTCATCTACAGATTCCTGGCAATTTAATAAACTCAGGGAGGAAAGAAATAGGAATGCTATTGAAAGACAAGTATCCATGGTTGTAGCTATCAAAAGAGAAAGGATACTTTGTATAGGTGAAGAGATTTGTTGATTTATGCTCATATAAACCTTACCTTTAATGGTCCACAGCTTGAAAGTATTGAAGTCTGTGAATTTCTTCAGTTTTATAGCGGTTAAGTCAATTAAACTTGTTTTTTTTCCTTCCGTTAATTGTCGAGTCTTTTCATCCCACGTTCGCTAGATTCGACTTTTGCAAGTTTTCCCAACCAATCAAACTGGCTTTAATTTCCTGAGAAAACTTTCAAATGTCTTATTGTCCTTGTATACAACTATCAATACAAGTAGTTCTTCGAGAAGTTTTTAAACATCTAAATTTATCTTATAACAATTTTTGATTTTATTGACTCTTCAGAAAAATATTTCACAATAAAAGTTATAAATAAAAAAATTCTTTTTATATCAAATGTATCGAATTGTTTAAGTTACAATGTGAATAGCCAGAGCTGAGGAGAGTTTGTATGGACAGAGAGAGTACTTATAATTTATAAATCCAAATATAAATTAATATAAAAGAATGTTCAATTTATAGTTTGATTCGTTTTATATCTTGCATTATAAAGTTTTACTATGCAAATTAATTATATAATTATAAACTAACTACTAATAAGTTAATTAGTGTAAATATTTGAATTTTATATTTATTCCTGTTTAAATTATGCTTTTATTTGATAAATATAGATAGAGGAAAATATATAAAAAAGGTATTAGATAAGCTTATATCTTTTGTATATTAGAGAGCATGGGTGTCATCAGAAAATTTTCCAGGGGGAGGAACAAAGCTTGGTAATAATTAATTAATTTTGAATTTTTTTTTAACGAGTAGATTATAAAATTCGGTATTGCACCAAAGCCTCCCATGGTCGAGGGTGTAAAGTTATGTATCTCAATCACTTTTACGAGTATAATTTGTGGAATATTTATTCGATCCCAGGAAGGGGCAAGTGTTTCTTTTGCCCTCTCTTCTAGACTAAATTTCTTAAGATTTTTACAACGATGCTCTTGTTATTTGCATTAGTAACTAAGTAATGTTTGTATTTTAATTTTATAATTTGCGCTATTTATTTAATATTTTTCTAAATTTTCCACTACTGCAAGAAGTTTTATATCTTTTATCTGAATTTTTCAAGGAAATCTCTACTTAAATGATAAGATAAAGTGGCGATAACGAACAGTGTCTTGATTAAAACTCTAAAGTGTTATTGTTAAATAAAATACGTAAGATATGTAATATATTCTAACAGAATAATCTAATAAGTTAAATTTAAATTTAAAGATTTATTCAATGTCAATTTTAATATTGAAATCCTGTATTTTTTAACGGTTATAAATGAATATATTATATTTCTTAATTTTAGGATTTATTGATCATAGAGATAAATCAGGAGAGATATATATTATTGTATTTGTCATTATTGTAATGTGTTATAGCATGCCTGAAAATTGCATTTTCAATGCAATTTCCAGGCATGCAATAACACATTATTTCAGTTCATCTCTCTCTATTTACATGATATTTACACAAAATATACTGTACATTTAATACTATTAAATAAATAAAACCTTAATTTTTTTCGCTTTATTTTATTTTAACTTTTAAAAAGTTACTAACAAATCTGTATACTGGTTAGATGACTTCCTAAAGAAGGAAAACCGTATTTTAAACCCATATAAGTTTCTTAAATCCATGTAAGTGCTGCAAAATACGAAAGAAAGTCTACAAAATTAATTAATTATTTATTTATTTTAATAGTAGTAAGTTCTGTTTCCAGTTTATTAAAATTAATGATAAATGATAACAGTTCAAGCCTCTTCCGACAGAAATATTTTATTTAACTTTTCTCCATTCAAATCATTATTTAATCCTATTATATTTCCATTTCCATGCTCTATTTATGTAATTATTTTCATTTTATTTTTACACAGATTTTTATGGATATTTTCAATATATAATGTTATTTTGAAAGGATTTTTATTATGTTTTGAGATAAACTATTTAATAAATGTTTTTTTAAAATATTAATTAGAATAAATGCAATTCCAAACTTGGCAGCCGTGAAAGACAGTATTACACTGCATGTGAGAAGCATGTGAAGGCTACGGACTATGTTGAACACAGCCTTCAGATTTTACACCTTCAGAATGGCGACCATATTGAGCAGTATTTCCTGCATCGCTTAAGTCTTCATATCATGAGTGTCTTGTACAAATGAAGTGTTTGTTGCTTGCAGTACCAAAAGTGAATAATATTGGTGAATTTCGATACTAAATTTTTACGCAAATGTTTCCACACGTCCTGAAATATCACCGTACCAAATTTGGTTGTAAATTATTTGGATTGCAAAATATCTCTTAGATGGCGTTAAATAGAAGTATTTTAATTATCATCACCCGGTAGACATAACAGATTTACAATGGAATAAAAGAGGACACATTAGACTTACGATGGACTGAAATGAATACGTCTTTGTCCATAAAAGATTAAGAATATTCTTAATGTTTAAAATTATTCCATTGCATCGAAACCAATATGGCTTTATTGGCAGCCGCGTGGCTAGGCGATTAAGGCATAATCATTAAGGCTCTAGGGAACCCGGGATCGAATTTGGGAGGTCGAAAAAATTCCAAGAATTTATCATGATCTGGCTTCACCCATCACCATCCGGTCGCTCCCATTGTGGTCCTGGCCGAAACCACAATGAGTATGAAAATAAAGGTCCTTTCAGTGTCCACAGAGCGGAAAAAGTGAAAAAGAATTAAAATTTAATTTACTGATCTTTTTTTTATAATGTGAATATTTTACCGATGAGCAATGGGACTGTTTCATAATGAAACATCAGTTGCAATGTTACTTATCTAGTCATATCAAGCGGCTGCCATTTCTTATAATACTTAAGATTAACATAATAATATGTGTCAAAATGAATTGGCCAGTAAACAAAAGAAATTTATATATTTTTAAAGAAAAGAGATTACCTTTCATGGTTTGATAATTAACTAATAATTCATCTCAATTAACAAATCTCTTCTGGATTTTCTTTTATCAAATGGCAGCCTCTCGAGTATAATTTTATTAAATTAACATATAGATTTAATAAACTAATTGGCATTAATAATTAATATTAAATAATTAAATTCATCCAGGAAAATCTGTAAATTGTTTATTAAATTAATTTTAAGTAAGAGTCATCAGAATGACAGTGTAGAAAGTGAAACTATTTTTACTGTAAATCCGGGTTTGAGAAAAATTTCTTTCTTTTATTGTTATACTGTATTATGAGAGAAAAGGCAATCGTCAAAAACGTAGAGTTTTCCTGATTTTATTCAAATAAATAGGGTCCAATTCCCATAGAAACTCCTCCCGAGAGGCATCTTCCTTTGGCAGATCGTTCCTGTGTTGCGTTGCCTTGTTTCATCAATGCCAATCCTGTGAATACGAAGAGTTACATTCTGGTTACATTCATTGTGAATTCGACTGGGCCCATATTGGGAGTGGTTGAGTGGTGAGGAGTGGTGCCGGACGTACTGTTCATGAAAAATTCTTGGAATTTCTCTCGGGTCCCTAGAACGGTAGGATGACGTCTTAACAGCCTGGACGGAAAGGCCGAACGGTTAATTCTTATGAATTAAATTATCATTTTTATTGATATATATATANTATTCCAATAGCAACCAAAGATACAACAAAAGTTAACCATCCTCCAAGCATAGCTGTAGGAGGAACAAGTGCAAAGATAATCTAAAAATATTTATAAATTTAATTAGATATGGAAACTTTAATTTAAATATTATATAAAATAGCTTCTAACTTCATCTAGTATATAATTATGTATTATATTATTATTATAACAAATGTGCTATTTATGTTGGTTTATAAAGATAAATCTTTAATATAAGCGAAATATTTAATATAATGTAAGTAGAACTCGCTTCTATGATGTCTTCAAATGGTTAATATACACTTATTGGCGAAATATGCAAAACTTGACCTACAGCTGTCTCGGACAAGTATATAAATGACTATACTTGTCCGGTTGATAGCCAGATAATGCCACCAGACTGTCTTAAAATCGATATTCTAGTATCCTAAAAACAAACCCGCTGTGTTCATAATTTTCGATGTTATTTGGAGGTGTTCAAACGGTCGGTTTGTCTTTATGATACTGTCAAAACATTACGCACAGCTGACGTTTGACAAAGGTTGCATCAAGGAAGCAAGATGGCCATTTCGCTAGATTACCCGCCATCCGGGCCATTCTGAGTTGACTGTGAGAAGGTGTTGGAAGGTGAGACAAATCACCAGAGATGATTCAGATATCTCAAATAGCTGCAATGTTGTCTTCGTTCACCATCCAGAAATAGGTGGAAGCCTCGCTACAGAACCCAGTCTCTTTCTATACCATTAGCAAGGACTCTCAGGCAAATTTGCAAGCGCGAATGCCGTTTCTGTTTGAAAACGACCACCGTGTTAGTGTGTGGAGGACCATTGATGAACCCGCTTCAATCCCCCATCACTGTTGACGTCATACTGCTGTCATAGGAGGCATCTCGTATCTTTAGTAGTGTACGGAGAACTGTGACGGAAGAGCAGAGGTACAGTATATCCAGAAAACCCTACTTCCTCATGTTTCATGGCAGAACTGAAAGTAGCCATTTTCTAGCAAGATAATGCTCGGCAGCACGTAGCATGGGTTTCCCGGAAATGTCTCCTTCACATCGACACACTTCTTTAGTCTGCCGTTCTCCATATTTGTTGCCCATCGAACATTTGTAAAATCAGACGGAACGCCAGCTTCGGCCCTCTATGTGTATGTGGGATTAAAAGTGGCAGTTGCAAAATCTGATGCAGTATAGCATACAATGTCCGTGCCTCTCCTGATGCATGTATCTAGGTAAGAGGAGATCCTATAATGTATTAACACCTAAATAAGGGCGATTTTCCATAGAAAGTCTTCCCGGGACATTTTTCTCTATGGGAGATCGCCATTGTGTTGCGTTGCCTTATTCCATCAAACATGCTTTAAAAGAGCTTGAAATCTGCATAAGTTTCGCTACAAATTATGCAAAATAATAGATGCTGGCCATTACCTTTCCTAAATGAAGATCCATATTTTAAAAATTCTGCAATATACAATATTTCGTTTTTCTTATAAATCCTGTATTTGTTTTTTTGCCTGTGATTAAAAATATAGACAACACCCGATTGATTGTGAAAAATTTTTCAGTTAAATAACGCTTATTAAAAATATATACGCAAACACATAAGAAGAATTGATGATCTCACTTGCTGTCGCGCCCCTATATTTGGAAATCACAGTTTTACCCTCTGTATTAAGTGCAAAATAATCAAAAGTATAAGAAGGGCGAGATAAAATAATCTTATTTAATCATTTCTTTTATCATTTTCTTTTTAATCATGATACCAGCTTTTCCACCAAATTACAGGTTACTTGAGAGCTCCGATTATTTTCGTGTTATATGCAAAATTTTCTATTTTATTCTTCAAAATACCCTTCCTGAATCTCGGTTTATTTGATTTGTAAACACTATTACAAGGTCTTCGTTCATACAACATTACCATCCATAAAACCACGTTACGTTAACCTAGCGTAAGAATTGTCTGGTTTATTACAGTAAACAGTTTAACTATCTCGGTTAAATCGATAATACCGTTTTTACCATCCATACGTAATACATACAAAAGATTTTTTTTAATGAGAATACAATATATGAATCCTATCTCAGAATAATAATTTAATCATTATAAGATAATTAAGTTAATTTTAGTGATAATAGATGGCGCCATAAGGCAAGTCACGCCTCTTTTTTTACCCTCTTATAGACACGTGTTCTGAATGGTATAACTTATTAAATTATATTATCAGAGTGGGTGTAAGTCGGATAAAAGAGGATGGACATTAAATTTCACGGTGAACGCGCCCTGGTTACAGGAGCTGGACAGGGTAAATGCCGTTTTTTTCCATATTCTACATTATTTCTTTTTGTAGTAATTATATACGATGCAGTGTTGTGTTGTAATTTGATTAATTGTATATTAACAATTCTCTTGTCAATATCTTAGCATTTCGTTATTCGCCAATGGCACTAAAAATTGCTGGTTTCACGAGTTATTTAAACGATTATCTTATGTACTTTTTTTGAAATTTCGGCCGATGATATATCCTGTTACAAATCAAACCTTTTACGGTAACTATTTACTATTTATATAACGAGTAACCAGTTAAATATTGTATTGTTTGTAGGTATTGGACGTGCATTAGCGAAGAAACTGGTAGAATGTGGAGCGCAAGTTGTTGCATTGAGTAAAACTCAAGCAAATTTAGACTCTTTGAAGGCTGAAGTAAGTATTTTTCGTATCAGTTAAATTAGATAAGAGCTGTAAATTATGTTATAATATTTAATAGATTAATAAATTATTTAATTGGCCAATTTTTAATGGTTTTCTCATAATTACTCAGCATTTTAAGATGCATGTACTGTACTGTACTGTACATTACGCTTCAAGAATTTTTTAAAATAATTGAAAACTGATAGTTTTTAACTGTAAAAACTAGCAATTAAACCAGTATAACAATTTACATAAGCATCAAAAATATAAAAAATAGTGTATTTAGTAAAATTATCAATGTGACCTTTATAGTAATATGATAATATTTAATAAAATTAATTTCCTAAATAGTAAATTTTAATTACTTTAAATGTTTAAGTAATTTACTTCCTTATAAAGGTTTTAAATATATAAATAAACTTTAATTAAATAATTTCATTACATTATGTTTCTTCACCAGAAAAATTATGTTTTGATTTTATATTTAAAATTAATGTTATTTCTGGCAATAATTAACTCTTACTAATGTAATATAACCATGTCATCTAAAAAACTAAAAGGAAAAAAAAAAAAGATCTCCATAATCTCTACAGAAATTTTTCATCATATGTATATTAAATGTAAGATAGCAGCATAAATATTCAACTAAACTATTTAACTAATATAATATTATTATTTTTATTAAAAACCAGTATATTTTAATATAGTCTATTTAAAAAACAGTGTAGATATGAAGTGTAGACACTACAAAAATTTATTTTTTGTTTTGAAATTCAAAATAGGTTCCCAGCATTCAGACAGTTTGTGTTGATTTGGCCAATTGGGATGAAACAAAAAAAGCAGTTCAAGGATTAGGAAATATTGATTTATTAGTAAATAATGCTGCTTATGGAATTATTAATACTTTTGGCACCATTGGACCAGAAGATTTTGACAAGTATTATTATTAAGTAATATTATTCATTAAAATTTATAATTAAAAAAATTAAAATTCTTTTATACTTTCTAAAGAATATTTGCTGTTAATGTCAAAGCAGTTATTAATGTATCTCAGGTAAATTTCATCTTTTTGGTATAAAAATCTTCTTCATAAAAGTAAATGACAAATTTATAAATATTTTACAGATTGCAGCTGAGGGAATGAAGAAGAAAAGAAAAGGTGCCATTGTAAATGTATCCAGTCAAGCAGGCATGGTAGGTATGAAAGATCATGCATTGTATGGTGCTTCTAAAGGTGCTTTAGATCAACTAACAAGAATTATGGCATTAGAGCTTGGTCCCTACCAGGTATTGTTCTTTTATGACAAAATATTAATCTATAAAGAAATGTTCTAAATAAATTATTGCCAATGTTTACAGATACGTGTCAATTCAATCAATCCTACTGTAGTAATGACAGAAATGGCAAAAGTTGGATGGAGTGATCCCGTTAAAGCTGCAGATATGAAATCAAAAATTCCATTAGGCAGATTCTGTGGTGAGTATAAAAATTATACATTGCCACAATTTCCACAAAACAATATCTTTATTATAACATATTGATTAACAATATGCAAAATATATTATAATTAAGCTAACAGATCTGTGCTGGAATGAATGGACTAAACACAATGATCGTAAAATATAGCAATATGATAAATATGTATTGAATATAGAACATGTACAAACCATTTCAACCACATGTGCAAAAGGCAATATGTTTTTCTTATTTCACATTAAAATTTTTATAAATTTCATAACAATAAGTATATTGAATGAACAGCAACATCATTTAATAATAACCTTTCAGAGAAATATATATTTATCTTCCTTATTTTATATACAACATACACATTTACATATATATACATTTGCATGAGTAATAAATTTTTAACCCATCACTTATATTGCCATGTTTTGTGAGTACACAATAAATAGAATTACCGATATGGAAGGCAGTTTCTTACAGTGAAATTGGTTCAAAACAACAAAAAGTAAAGTATTGTTTACAATGACAAGATACAATAAACCAGTACCCATTTCAGTTATCACATTTAGCTTTTTGTTATGAGGAAATGTACATTAATTCCAACAGCATATAAAACTTTCATTTGTTTCAGAAAATCTTTCATATATGTAATCTTTGAAACAAATTGTTAGACATTCTGCACCATAATAAAAAATACATGACTTTTTTTTAATAGTTAAAGCATTTTAAATTGTTTAAAATCACAATTTGATACAATTTTGCAATTAACTAGATGAAGTCAATTCTCACAAAAAATATATTTTAATTAGTATCATAGCAAGAGATGATATTTATTATGTAAATAATAAACCGTACATTGTTTTTTATTATGTAGCAAATATAGAATGTGTGTGTAAATTTAAAATTTTTTTAAGTTATCTCATTTCAAATATTTGAACTAATATGTTGTATATAATTATATACAACTATAAGAACAATATAATATCAATTAAGTCATGAATATTATTAATAGATGACCTGAAAAGACAATTCTTTGATTAAAATTCAGATGATCTATTAAGAATGTTGTTATAAATTTTGAAGATAAAATAAATACACACACTATATCTATGAACTATTATTAAAAATTTAATTTAGTCATATGGATTTGTATATTTAAAATATAGAAAATTTCAGCTCTGCAGTACAAATAAAATATTAAAAAAACTACAAGTTACAAGTACAAATTTATGGAGAAAATTTAAAATCTCCATTTTTTTAACCATTACCTTCATTTATTATTATTAAGAAAATCATAAATATTTAAAGATTCTTCTGAAAAAGAAAAAAACAAAATAGTTGCAAAAGTGCATTTAGGAAAACTACATTTTATCAAAATGCTTCAAATAACAAAACTTGTTGCATTAATAATAAAATCACACTATTTCTATAGCTTAAAATATAAATTATGATATTCAAAAAATGTGTGTTAAATCTCAAATGTTGACATTAATTATATATCTGACATTTAAAAATAAAATCCTCATGCTATGATTCCAATTTTGTTTTATAGGTAGGAAGACATGAAATAGCATCAGAGTGTGAGCAAATGTCATAATAATCACTGCTCTCTTTACAGATCCTGAACATGTTGTGAATGGAATTATTTACCTTCTCAGTGACAAGGCAGATATGATCAATGGTGCAATTTTACCCATCGATGGAGGATTTACAGCTTGTTAACTTGCTCTCAAATTTTGAGTTTTTATTTTTCTATCAAAAATGTATCTTTTATAAAATATAAAAGATAAATAAATGCTTTAATAATTTTTTTTAAATAAAAAAAATTATAATCATGCATTTAAAAAGAAGGAAAATATCCCTTGTTTTGTTTGATTTGCCACAAACTATGCAAGAGAAACTTCAAAATTAAGCGGCAGTGCTAAGTTACTTATTCATAAGATGATTTTATTGATAAAATTATTTCAAAAATATAAGAATACATAATATAAATTTGCTAATTATTGTATCATTATTATGGAAGACAATTCTTTAGAATTAATTTTATTTAAAATTCAAAATATAATAAATACTTAAGTAATTACTGCCAAGTTTATAAAGTTTGATGTAATATGACAAAAGCTTCACATTTATGAAATTATTGATGACAAAATAGAAGACATTTTAACATATAATTAAATTCTATAACTGTTTCTATAAATATATACAGTACATAGTAAAACTAAAATTTCTATTATGAACAATACAAAAATATACGGTAAATAGTATTTTTAGAAGTTATATAGCATCTGTTGAATATGGAATTATTTTATATAATAATTGCATTTGATTTTTAAATACTGATTGAAATTTGTTTTATATAAATTTTTACTAAAGCTTGAAATCAGTTTTAATGTAAATAAAAATGATAAGAACTATTTGTTTCACTAATTTTTCATAAATTCATTCTATATTAATTAAATGTATTAATGATTTTTCTAGCATTTTTAGAATAAATTAATAAAATTTTAAAACAACATTTTGATTTTAAACTATTCTTACAAAATATGAATAGCTTAAACCTTTCAGCATGAGCATTTACATAGTAGTTTGTTTTTTTCTTGTTTTGAGATTGCATATCATTTCCTGAGAAAAAAAGGAAATCAAGTACAATGCCCAAAATTTGATTAACATTATAGAGCAACAAATTTGAGAAATGTTCTTGAAATTCTTTTACAAATGATTATAAGCTTTGAGTGAAGATAGCACTATATACAAAATCCAAAGAAAAATCATAAAACCTGCAGAGATGTAAGCCAGTACTTTTGATCCTCCTAATTCTCCACCTCCACATCTTCTCAGATATCTTCTCATCATTAATAAAGCTATGCAGATGAAAGCAGCTGCTGAATAGATACCAACACTAAATCCTAAAGTGCCTGCTTTTACTTTAAATATTTCTCCCTGCAAACAAATATAAAGCAGGATTTTATCATTAGAAAAATCAGTAAATTGAACATATTCAAAGATGTAAAAAATAACAATTTACCCGTGATTCCCAATAAATTGATGCAATCACCCAAGGTAGACCAACTCCCAGGAAGACATTGACAGAATTACTTCCTGTAACATTACCAATGGCATTGTCAGCATATTTCTCTTGCGTAGCAGCTGCTTTTGAAGCAAACAAATCTGGAAGTGATGTTCCCAGTGCTACAAATGTAATGGCTGTTACAGTATCTTCCAAACCAACTAAACAGCCAAAAATAGATGCCATGTCACCAATGATTGCTGTTAATATTCCAATAGCAACCAAAGATACAACAAAAGTTAACCATCCTCCAAGCATAGCTGTAGGAGGAACAAGTGCAAAGATAATCTAAAAATATTTATAAATTTAATTAGATATGGAAACTTTAATTTAAATATTATATAAAATAGCTTCTAACTTCATCTATGATCAAGTTTATTTTTTTTAAGAATATATAATCTATTAAATTTCTAGTAAGAATTCAAACATTAAACGGAATTGACTTACTTTCCAACCAAAGGTAATAAAATGTAGTATATAATCAATGCGAGTAGCATTCTCTAAATCACCACCATTAACATTCATTGCATCTTTCAGTTGTTCAACCCAAGTTTCTGACTGTAATCGAAGAGAATCTATATTCACGTTGGTCATTACCATAAGTCTTCCCATAATAGAGTTAAAATCTAAACAATTGAAAAATAAGAAGAGAATTATTTTGTATAATATACAATTTTAATTAAAAAAAAACCAATGATTTTACTTACCATCATCATTAGTAATAGTAACTGTAGTCCTATTAATTTGGCCTAGTTTAGCTCCTCCTTTTGGTTCTAAAATTTCAATTTCAAAGTGCTCATCTTTTTCAGCATCGAAATCGTCGATAATTGGAATTTCTATATTTTTTTCTATTTCCGCATGTTGAAAGACGAGTTCTCCTTCTCCTCCTTTAAAATCTCTTCCATTCATTGCTGATTTATCGATTGTTCTCCATTTACAGGAGACTATGCCATCTGCACCTTGTTTTCTTATCACAGGTATATACGCAACACCAACACTTTCTTTAACAAGTATACCTCTTCGCTTAAACTGAAGAATACCCGGTTCTATAACCATATCAATTGATATTTTAGAAATATTATAAAATTTATATTTATTTTTAGTTATTATTTCATCGAAAATTTCTTAAATTTTACTTTGATATTGTTGTTATTTTTCATTTCTGTTAACATTCAAATTTTGAATATATTTAAAACAAAAGCAATTTAATGTATAAGATAAATTCAGTGAATAATTGCTACATAAACTATTTCCACAATTTTACATTTACTTACCATCATCATTTAAGATAGTAATTTCCATAATACAAGTTCTGCCTAGAGCAATTTCTTCTGTTTCATCTTCGCACAGACTTAATTTTAAAAAGAAAGTTTCGTCTGGTTCCCATTGATTATCATTCACTATTTCAACAAATATTTTCTTTTCCGTTTCATTTGGTTGAAAAACTATCACCTCCTTTTTTTCGATATAATCTTCTCCAGAGACGGCGGTTCCATCGATTGTTTCGAATCTATTAACGAAATGGAAAATATGTGTACCGAGTAGATTAAAAAAAAAAAAGAAAAAACTTTATTATTACCAATTGATAAGCTTATAATTCATTTTAAAATACAAAATTCGAAATAAATTGGAGAAATGCAAATAAAGGAATTCTATTAAAACTACAATATTATAGACAAAGTTTTTGAGATTAACAATGAACTATTAACAGTATATCGGAATCATAATAAACAACTAAGTATTACAACGCAGTTCCAGAATTAATTTACTGATTTTCCTGTAGGAATTAATTAGGCCTTGTCAAATATTTCATAAATTGTCATTCAATATCCGAAACGCTTCTGAGCTATTGAACGACAGTTTATGAAATGTACCCAAAAGGTATTTGACAAGACAAGTGTTGTTTTGGAGTTATTATTTTACAGGAAACTCGTAGTTTGAATACTTTAAACAATAAACAAAATATATAATTTACTTATAACTTGTGGAGAAACTACTTTTCCTTTGCACTTGCAAGCCGTCAAGAGATTCTCTTATTATCAATTTCATTCGCAAAAGAAATATAATCATCTACTAATTATATGACAATAATTTAGAAAAGGATTATAAAATGTCCAAAAACACTAATTTATTTACATTGTTTATATGGTGGTGATAATACGTTTCGTAACATATCAAAAATGAACATATTCAAAACAGTTTCTATAACAAGACTTCGTACAAAACATACTGTCCAATAGAGATTTAATATATTTCTCCTAGAGGACTTGTTAACGCCAACAAATAATAAAATGAAACTCACTTGCAGGAAACTTTATTATTAGTTTTTCCGTGACGACGAACAGAAACATTAACACGTCCGGCATTTTCCATAATAGCGCACGAAGCTGCTGTAAATTCGATGATAGAAATATCTTGTCTTTCTCCTTTTGCTACAGTTCGAAGTTGTTTCCCTTCTTCATCAGTTAGCATGGCATCGTATACCTGAGAGAATAAAGTGTGTTCTTTTTTTAATTGTTTCCGATTTCTATATGCAAAGTTTTGCAAATATGGATTTGTTTTAAGGTGACAATTCAAATTCGTTTACATTCAGTAATTTAACTTATCTCTACATATCCTCCCAATTAAACTGACTCATTAATATCGTTATTCTACAGCTGTAGTACCTATCTAGACGCAGCTGCGAATCTAGACTTACTAGAATATATTAATAGGAGTTATATACAGTCTGCAGTCAAACATTGATATTCGAAATCCCAAAAGGAAGTAGTAATGAGAAGTTAAATTATTATAATTTATATTTGTGACTATATAAATTTTATATCTTTATTAACAACATATATATTTTTTTAACCAAAACAAAAAGAAATTTATTTATGCAAATTAAAATAATTTGGAGTTATTAAAAAGGAATGGAAATTCAATACAGAATCTACAAATGTATTCTAAAATATTCGATTATAAATACTTTCACAATAATAATTTAATGAGTGATGTGTAAACATGCTTAAAGTAAATCCCATTATGATATTTGTTCTCATTAAAATATAATTATTGGTCAAATAATAAATTTTATATCTAATATAAATGTGACATTCGAATGGAATTGTAATTACTATTAACATTAACAATTAATTAAAGTAAGACTAAGAGAACAAACATTTGAAACAAGTCCACGACATACATTAATCATTTGAAAAAAGAAATTATTTTTGCACACCAAATATATTAAGAAAGACGAACAACATTTACCAACATTTACATTTACTAGAATTAAATAACGTTGAAACAAATTGGTTTTCATTTAACTCACATTTATATAGACATAACATGCACAGAATGTACACAAAAAATACAGTGTACACAAATACAATTAGCAATAAAAACAATACAATGCATGCACCCTCAAGTTTTTTTTTTATACACTATGCAAAATAGCACAATATAACGCATGCTTTACATAAATCTGCTTTATTGCATTAAAACAACTAAACCTTTGGCTTTGTTGACGTCCCTTCCACAATTGCCATCAGCGCTCTGACTTGTTCTTCGCATTGCTTGGAGTAAAAATTTCGAGTTATTTCAGATAAGACACATCTCTAAATTATAGTAACAAGTAGTAACAATTCTACTCTATGACACACACGTTCAAATTTATAAGCCAGTACGAGACATTTATTCAGATGGTCCATTTACGTCTTTCTTAATGGAGGCTATTTAATACATTTCAGGAGATACGTAGAGAATTTTTAAAATTTTTTTCGATAACGGTAACATTTAATTTATAAACTTAAAAATTAAATTTCTACTTAAAATATACGAAAAAAATTATAATTGATTTATTAAAGAATATTTATCTCTATATTTATTAGAAGTGAAAGAACTTGAAATGTTTTAAAATAATCTACCGTTATATTTATAATGATTATTGTGTACATTTAATTTGATGTGTGTTAAACGTTACCCGGATATAAGCTCGATAATATTAAATGGACCATCTAATTGAGTTATATATTTTATTATTATTATTTACACGGTGTAGATATAACTGCAAAACATATAATTATAATTGTAAAATTATCAATCATAAATTAATTATTTTTAAGCTTGCATTCCAGAACATTACCTCTCTTAACTTTTCGCTGAGTTTTGGTTTTGGTTTTCTGCCTCCGGTTATATTTCTAATAGCTCCAACTCTATACCACATTCGTGAATGATCCTTTTCTTCTACCAATCGTGAGGCTGCTAAACAAGCTGCATCCTCTTCTGATAAACCGGGATGTTTCCTAATTTCCTGAAAAATAAATCGATAATTCACCTCTTGAAAAAAAAAACTTTACAGAAAAAAAATAATCTTTTATTTCGGCATTGCCGTTCTTATAGAATACGTGTCAGAAAACAGGTGGATTCCATCAGTACATTCATTCAATCTAGTAAAGGAATCTTCTATTCTCCAGGATTATCGGGATAGAGTTCAATTTTGTCGTTTCTTTTGTTATGAGAGTAAAAAGGAAAGCAGCAGCTGTGTCCACTATTCTTACCTTGATAAAGCTAATGAGATTGTCTCTATCTAAACGGCCGCGAGGAAAATAGCCACGATTGGCCATGTCTAAAAATAAAAAAAATAATAATAAATATATTATATAAATGTTTACAATACATCCAAGCATTTATAAAGTAATTTTATAAATATTAAAACAAGTTTTATACTTTCTGTTGCTTGTTTTATTTTAGAAATTGATGCAACTAATCTAACAAAAAATTAAGATTGGATTTTTATATGTTTCATTTCTTTTTTTTAAAATAATTTCTAAGCAAAATATATTTAAAATTTCTATCTAAAATAACAAAAAGAAAAGTTTGACATTTATAATAATATCAATAATATGAATTTTTAATTCTTATACGTTTGCTTTTCCATCATTTATTTACTCGCATATTTATTGATGGCACGTGCTTCTTACAAGAACAAAAGCTGATAAACTTCCTTAAACAATAGAATTCTTTTGATTTATGATTATATGCAAACGTCTTCACGTCGTTAAAACGTGAATAAACTGTTTACTTAATTAAAGTTGTACGTAAATGCGTAATGATTACATAAATGAGAATTTTCAAATCTGCTGAAGATTATCGTATCAGTGTTCATTTTAAAGCATCATTTCGAAATTAGCCGGATTGCCGCTAATTAGAATTTATCTTTCATGCGTATAATTTAAACAGTGTAAAATTCTTTTAAGATTGAATATAATTTCTTTATTTAATTCACAGAATAAACTACAAATCACATATATAAGAACGATACATACGGTAGGAAATATATTTTAATTCTATTCTTATATGTAAATATATAATCTTACTCTCTACATACAAATATACTGCATATTTTAAATAATCATAAATTAATTTATTTACCGAGTTGGTAAGTATAAGAATTTTTTTAACATTCATCGATGTATCCTTTATTATACCAATTAAAATTATAAGTTTATTTTATCGTCTTTATAACGAGAATTATAAAAATTAAAAATTAAGCAAGAATGAAAATAACATTAAATATTTACTCCGTTAACGCGTATCATATATTATATAGTTAATTTATTCTTGCATTTAAAAATTCTCTTCTTCTAAATGTAAAAATTATATGCATAAATTTAAAAATTTTTAAATGAAGCGCCTTCATTTAAAGTCATTTCAGTGGCGCGTTATCTTATGGGCAAAAAAAAGAGAAATTGCCTCAGGCCCCACCAAACCAATCTTTTATAAACTCATTGCAATAGTAATAATATAGAAATTTAAATTTGCGCCTTATCTCGAGACTTAAGATTGCTGATGTGGCATAGGCGGAGGATGCATTAGCGCAGTGCACAATTTAACTCGCTAGATATCACGTTAAAAAACGAAGGATGTTACAGGGAGATTGCTCCCAAAGAAAAAGGTTTGAAGTCAACACTACACGGGCCTCCAATTAAAATTTTCCAGGGTCCCACGAAGCTATGACGCGCCACTGAATCGTTTATAAGCAAAACACTACTAAATAATTGCAATTACCTTTAGAAGATTCCAATTCTAGTTGCTTTTCTTGTAAAACTTTCTTTCCCATGCAGAAATTTCTGTCCGCACAATAAGATAAAATAACCAAAATGGGGAAAAACAACAGAGTAATCAAAGCTTCCCATACTTCTACTCTTTCGGGTGTAATGGCCACGAGTACTACCAATAACCAGAGATATGCAAATATACTGAAGAAAGCGGTGATCATAAACACCTGCAAAAGATTATAATTAGGAAATTTTATTTGGAAATTACAAAATGGCGTCTGTCGGTCATTGTTCAAATTTGTATTCATAACAGTAGACTTGATTTAAACCGAAGCCGATGGAGTCGACTGGGATTTAGTAAAAGGAAATGAAAAATTTAAACTTTGGTGAAATCGCGGGAAATTACCAATTTAACTTGATCATTATAAAATTTTTAAAGTAAAACGGAACTATTTTAATTAAGCGTCTCGATATGATGCCGACGCGTCAAAATTTAGCACGTTGTTCTTGTTAATAAATTTTAATTTAATCTCAGAAATGTTACAAAATTAGAACACTTCTGTTGATAAAAATTGATTATCGAAAAGATTAAATTTTCAATTCGGGTTTTGTCGTCATGGCAACTATCTCTAAATAACGTCAAAAGAATTTTCTCACTAGGAGGTGTCTGGTAGTTTCTACATACATCTTTAATAACAGACGATAAATATACAAAAATTTTTTTTACAAATTTTTAATCATTTTACTTAATAAAATTTATTTATAATTAAAATTTCGTTAAATAAAAATAACAACAAAATTTTAATTTCAATTTAATTCTAAAATAAAGCGAAACAAAACTCGTTAAAAATTTTAAAATATCGAAAATTTTGTAAAATATTGTTTATTTTTAAAAATACTAAAAAGAGTTTTCGAGTATAATTTCTCCATTTTCGAAAGCCTTTTGTCTTCATTCTTTTCCTCTTTCTAAATACTAAACTGCGATTCGGAGCAACAGGATAATGCGGTTACCATGACAACAGCAGCAAACAACTCTCCACGGATTTCTAGATATACTGAACAGTCTATGATGTGCCTGAACTAACAAACGTTTTATTCTTCTCAATTCTTGAATTTATTATTAATAGTTACATCCTCTTCAATAATAATTCATATCGTATTAAGGATTAAGAGGTCTCGATATTTTTAGCTCAACTTTACAGATATTTTCTCCCTCCCCCCTCCGCACCGCTTGACCCAATTATGGTTATAACAATTTATAAATAGATTAAACATATGTAAATAAGTTATATTTGTATTGGCACAATGTTTCTTCAGGGCCATTGATAGATGAAGTATGGCGCCTTTATGAGTAATTATCCGGATGATCGACTTTTTCGTAACTCTATCGATGATTAAAGCATCGAGTGTAGAGAGGAAATCATTGACATTTTTCTCCGATACATTAGTCAAGTCGAGCGGTGATTGATCGGCCATTGTTGTACCATCTGTTGATTTCTTTTCAGTTTTAAGTCAATTATTTCCCCAGTTTTACTTGATTTTTCTTGAATCATCCCTCAAAAATGCATTTAATACATTTTTAAAACGATCCATAAAAAACACGTGCGCTTATTTGATTTAAAAAATATAAATATATTCCCATTTTATTAATAAAAAAGTTAATTTATCCGTTTAATAAGATTAATTTATCCGTTTTTTTCTTCATTAAATTAGGGAAAAAGTTACGTAAAAATGACTTCTAAATATTTTAATATTTATTCGTTTTAGGAGAAACTGATGTCACTTTTATACCTTTATAAATATTTTCTACGTGAAGTTTTATATCAAAACAATTTTTTATAGAAAATATAATGTTTTTTTTTTACTGTTAAGCATAAAAAAAAGGTACTCTATAGAAGATTTTTTATGTATAAAGTCGAACCACTTTAGCGTTAACCCAATCTCGAGCTCGTAAAGTTGTTTTAATTGGTATTAAACGAGATCTGTTTCTCTTTAACAATTTAAAAGACCTGTCAGAAATAATGGACATCCCACTTCATCTTTACTCTATTTTTATTGTTCGAAAATTCCTAGATTAAATCTGCGCGTTTGTCTATACTAATCGACTTTAAACTCGATTAGTTCTGTGACTTCGGGATAAAAATATCGATAAAATAAGTCTCTCGAGAGCCGAACATTATCGTGTTAATTTCGAAATCGATGGTTATAAATAAAAAAAGTAAGAAACAACTTACGCTAATCATACGTATCCGACGGAATTCTCCCGGTGGTATTGCTGTGATACAAACAGCGCAGATGACAAATAAATTAAAAGCTGCGGAACCGACTATTGTACCGGGTCCCAACTCTCCAGCTTCGAATCTAATAGAAAAAAAAATTAAATAAATAAATAAAAAATATAAAGAATTCTTATCACATCCACGACATAAATTTTCAAGACAGTTTTCTAATTAAGTTCTGTTTGCAAGCATTTGGTCTCTCCATTTGTTTCGTAGATCATCCTCATCTGGAATTATCATTTCTAATATCAGTGTATTTTCGTGTATTAATAAAAAAATAAATGTATTTTTTTATTAGTACATTTATTATTTGTATGGTAATATTTAAAACATGAAAGTATTGTCAAACCTTCTTTCCATAAGCTTATAATGGTAGTAGCTTATCTTGATTCTAAAATATGGATAAAAATTGTTGCCGATACGAAGACGAAAATGGCTTCGTGTAACACAACCGATACTCATGTATATATATATAGCAGATATTCATACATATGTAAAGGAAAAAAAACTTTCTGAATTTCAATGTAGTCTAGTCTATATTTTAAATAATTGATAAGGTAAAGAAGGTTTTTTTTTGTATGAAAGATATAAAATTTATTACGTTTATATTCTTACTAATGCAGTTTTAAAAGAAAGATAAATTATCTTTTCTATCCAACATTTAATTCATAAAATTGTAATTATTTGATGAAATGTTAAATTCCTGATAATGAAACGTCCCTTTAAAGTAATCGCTACATCAACAATTTAGTCTTTTTTTTTCTTTATTAAAAAATGTTTAAATAAATATTAAAAAACTTTTAATATGTATTATTATTACTATATTTATTAAAAATTAATAGAGTTTAATTTAAAAATTATATATTGTCATCCAATTTTTAGCAAAATAAATTTACTTTTTTTTTTGTTGAAATTGTAAAGTTTCATACAAGGAAAGGTTAAAAGGTCATTCTTATCAGAAATTTTGTAATTTCACGGATGAGAAAAACTGTATATGATTATATCCAATTATCAGTTTTCTCTCGAAAATCGGTATAAATTTTGTTTTCTTTCCTTTTTTCATCTAACAAAACTTGAAAATTACTATTAAAAAAAAACCTATAGCTTAAATGTTAACTAAAAATTAAAATAATAATAATAATAATATTAATGCTGTATAAGATTTAAAAGTAAATTTAACAGAGAATAAAATACGTAAAAAAATTATAACAACATTTAAATATTGAAACATTAAATTGACTAATAAAGTGAAAGTAAATTAGTGCATTACCATACGAACGGTTTGCATAATTTATGCTAGTTATTAATTTTTCATAACTATGTACATATACTACGAATATTTATCACTATTTTCATAGTGAAATATAGAACGGATATTACTTTGCGTGTTTGGGTCAGGGACTACATATTCACGACAATGTATTGCACCGTTGGATGGCCACTGTATTTGTGTCATATCTTGTTAAATTTCAATTGATGCTTCTAACTCCTTTTGTATTCTTAATACGATAAACTTGTGCATATTAATGTTCCTTGTAATTTGAAATATTTCGTAATCTATCTTCATCTGTATAATTTTCCTATTGAAAGGGAGGAAGGTGCGATGACGCATTGTTGCTGAAGACGTTTCTAGGAAACCACAAAAATACTAGAATAGCAATTTGTTAGGTATAGGTATATAATAACTTTGAAAACAAATAATAATAATAAAAAAAATTCTATTAACGGTGTATTAAATAAATAATTAGCTAGAGGCTTGTCACTATGAAGAATCTTAAGCAATTACTCATGAAAATTATTAAGATGTAAATGCTCGTTAATTATGTTCTTAATGAAATAGCAAAAATATTAATTACGTAATCGAAGAGAATCTATATTCACGTAAGTATATACAACTATAAGAACAATATAATATCAATTAAGTCATGAATATTATTAATAGATGACCTGAAAAGACAATTCTTTGATTAAAATTCAGATGATCTATTAAGAATGTTGTTATAAATTTTGAAGATAAAATAAATACACACACTATATCTATGAACTATTATTAAAAATTTAATTTAGTCATATGGATTTGTATATTTAAAATATAGAAAATTTCAGCTCTGCAGTACAAATAAAATATTAAAAAAACTACAAGTTACAAGTACAAATTTATGGAGAAAATTTAAAATCTCCATTTTTTTAACCATTACCTTCATTTATTATTATTAAGAAAATCATAAATATTTAAAGATTCTTCTGAAAAAGAAAAAAACAAAATAGTTGCAAAAGTGCATTTAGGAAAACTACATTTTATCAAAATGCTTCAAATAACAAAACTTGTTGCATTAATAATAAAATCACACTATTTCTATAGCTTAAAATATAAATTATGATATTCAAAAAATGTGTGTTAAATCTCAAATGTTGACATTAATTATATATCTGACATTTAAAAATAAAATCCTCATGCTATGATTCCAATTTTGTTTTATAGGTAGGAAGACATGAAATAGCATCAGAGTGTGAGCAAATGTCATAATAATCACTGCTCTCTTTACAGATCCTGAACATGTTGTGAATGGAATTATTTACCTTCTCAGTGACAAGGCAGATATGATCAATGGTGCAATTTTACCCATCGATGGAGGATTTACAGCTTGTTAACTTGCTCTCAAATTTTGAGTTTTTATTTTTCTATCAAAAATGTATCTTTTATAAAATATAAAAGATAAATAAATGCTTTAATAATTTTTTTTAAATAAAAAAAATTATAATCATGCATTTAAAAAGAAGGAAAATATCCCTTGTTTTGTTTGATTTGCCACAAANAAAAAAAAAAGTCATTCATCATCTCCATCAATCGTTATTAAGAATGTATTTAATATTGTTCCATAAAGAATTGGCTAAAATTTTTATCAGCGATGGATTAAGACACTCCGGGACCCCTAGGCACAGAAGATTGGGACCCCCTACATAATTTTACATCATAAATTAATAACGTCTAATTGTTAAGTTTAGAATCATTTATAAATTATAATATACAATTAATTTTTGTTTTAATTTTGGGGTTCTCTAGATCCAGGACCCGTGGGTGTAAGCTCACGTGGTTAATGGACATTCCAGCAATGATTTTTATAAAAAAGATCATTTATTAATGTTAGTAAGTTATTCATTTTTGCTATATTTTAAGAAGAATTCAGAAATAAGTGCAAATTTCTTCCTGTTTTGTCTGATGTTTTATAGAATATTTAAATTCTATAAACCGCTCTCTAATACAATAATTAATTTTTGAACGAATCGGGACGGTTTTGAATAATACATTAGTAGTTTTCGTGTAGTGAATATTAAATTGATTTAATAAAATGTAAATTATTCATATTTTAATACTTTAAGCAATAAAATTTACTTTACTACTACTATTTTTTTCGTTTGTAAATCGTGACAGAGTTTTTTCTGCGACCAAAACAAGAAAAAACAATTGAAAAACTTCACTCCGCTACGTCAAAACATGACTGTGGAAATGTTGCATTTATGTTATTAATATTCTAGAAATGCATGAATAATTTTTAGAAATTACACTATATAAAAAAATACATTTTATATAAAATATTTTCGAAATTTGTAATAATATTTTATATTATTTTCTATATAAAATAATATTACAAACTTCGAAATTCGTTGAAACGGAAATGCATCTTTCAAGTAGACTTTATGTATTTGAATATATTAAATTCGATTCAAATACTTGACATTTTGATTTCATATATTTAAACAGTCACCCAATCAATTCTCTCACTTATAGTAACCTTAAAAACCTGTACATTCAATTCGCATGTCAAATATTTTTGTTTCTTTTTTTACTATAAAACTAGCGCCAATTGGGAAAATGAGTATTAAACCTTGCAGGCATAACGAACAGAGAAACCAAAATTTTAAATATAATGTAGACATTACTTACCTATTCCCTATAATTTCTATAATAGATAGTAAGATTTCGGGTGCACTGGATCCTAATGCCATTAACGTTAAATTGGCTACAGTGTCATTCCATATTTTTACTTCTAAGACTTCTGGTTCTGTATCGTTAACGGTAGACAATACAATTTTTCTAGTTTTGCTCGTAATTTTCTCGATCGAACACATAAAAATATCAGCAATAATAGCAACACCCAAAAAACAATATATGAGTCCCGAAAGATAGAGGAAGGCTCTCGATTCACGTGACCATNTATTAATAAATCTATTTTAAAGATAAGATAAATGTGAAAATTCTGCAGATGTTTATAAACTGCTTTAAAATCATTTTAAATTATTATTTATTTTTCTTATTGCCACAATAAAGGAAAAGAAAAAAAAGAGAACAAGAATTCCACATTTTGTCACTTTATATATAAATTTAATTATCGAATAAGAACGTCGTTCATTATTCTTTACTAGCTTTATCTGTCCATTGGGAGGTTTATTATGTTGGGGTTGTCTGTAGCTTATTGATTATATTGCAATTGTATGGATAAAATTGTTTTCTCTCTTTTATATTAGGCTAAGAAATTAAGTGCGGGTTTGTAAAATAAATTTCTTGAATTTATTGCTTTTTTTTATGAGAAATAAAACGCATTATGATAAACGAGAACGGGAAAAACTTTTAATTAAAAAATATTGTTTATTATTCACAGTTGTTTAAATATAAGAATTGTTGAAATGTAAAGTAGTACAGAATAAAGCTTTTAATGCGATACGTAGGATGAAGGTTAAATGAACTTGTTTATATAACCTGAACTTGAATTAATTTGTAAGAATTATTGCGTAATTAAAAGCTTAAATTTTTGTTTTAAAATATAATGTAACATTTATTAAATTTATCAATTTGTTTGGAGCTAAAATTTATATATAAAACAGTCGAAAAATTTGGAAATTTTTAGTTAACGTTAGGAGAAAGCTGTCGTTTTGAAACGTTAAATCTGTTTGACCAAAAACCGTGACCTAAATTTTTCAAAATTAAAAACAAACAAGTAATTTAAACAATAAAACAATCTTGTCTTGCTGTAAGATTTCAAATTATCGACTTTAACAAAAAGATCCTGGGATTAATTTATTTTAAATATTTACAACCCGATTTAAAAATCAAATATAAATATATAAATCTTTTTAATGTATAGATTCTATAATTCAACGACTTTATTTGATGTTAATAGCATTTACAAATGGAAAAATATATATATTTATATTAACAAAATGGCATAAAATGGCGTGGAAAAAGCATCAATGCAAATAAAGATTAATCGAGATTTTTTAAAAATTCATACGAAATTCAATTTTCTTTGATGGAATAATAAAGTAATTCTCTATCGACACATAAGCCTATATATAATTTTATCATATCTAAACTACTAAAGGCACAAATCAATTCGGTAACTTTGTCATTTATCATCAGGTTCGAGCAGAGTCCATAAACTTGGCTATGAGATGAGTCTTTTTTATTGCACGTATATTTTAATATTGATAGGTTTATTTAGTATTCATCGAATCAAGCTACTTGTGTCGTATAAATTATACTATATTTGCAACCGTTTTTAGGTATATTTTTTTTAATGTAAACGATATAGCGCAAGTAATTCTTTCACTGAAAAATTTACTTTAAAAAAGTCCTTTTACTCGCTTACGATGCAATAATGATAATAATTACGCTGATTGTATAGTCATAGGCTGTATAACAGGCCCTTCCCCTCTACCAAATAATAATATGAGGCCTTAAGCTATAGGCTCATAAGGCCCTAAGGTGCAACTTGCTTAGTTTATGTGCAAAGTCTGATCCTAACTAATTGCAGTAACAATTGAATCAAATGTTTTATGATACAAAAATCTTTATTTTCAAAACATTTATAGTTATTTTAACAAATTATCTGTCTATTCGTTCAGAAATTTATTATTTTTTAAATTTTAAAATTTGTATTAATTAATAGATCCTTCCATAGCTGTAGAGCCTACATAAAAATTATAATTACAGTAAAGAATTTCTTAATTAATAAAGAAAAGTTAAAAATTTTCGAATTAATTATATAAATTCTTTATCAGTCTTAGGAATAAAATAATTGATTTTTATTTCGTTTATTTAAGTTAAATTTCCAATCATCATCATCAAAAGAGTGAACAAATAACAAGTTAAACAAGTAACAATTGTTGTAATTAGATAAATTGTCGCTTCTTCTAACCATTTTGTGCAAAGAAATAAAAATACAAACGGAAAAATGCTTCTGCATTATTGGTTATATTGACTATATCAAGCTTAGTTAATATAAGTAACATTTATTGCTGTCCATATTAATTATGATTAAAGATATTTCCGTGGCAACTCATCAACTCGTAAGATGATGATAATGAATATTAACGTTGCCTCATACAAATAAATGTATGACTTCTATACTAAGGACATCTTTAATTAACAAAAAAAAAAAAAGTCATTCATCATCTCCATCAATCGTTATTAAGAATGTATTTAATATTGTTCCATAAAGAATTGGCTAAAATTTTTATCAGCGATGGATTAAGACACTCCGGGACCCCTAGGCACAGAAGATTGGGACCCCCTACATAATTTTACATCATAAATTAATAACGTCTAATTGTTAAGTTTAGAATCATTTATAAATTATAATATACAATTAATTTTTGTTTTAATTTTGGGGTTCTCTAGATCCAGGACCCGTGGGTGTAAGCTCACGTGGTTAATGGACATTCCAGCAATGATTTTTATAAAAAAGATCATTTATTAATGTTAGTAAGTTATTCATTTTTGCTATATTTTAAGAAGAATTCAGAAATAAGTGCAAATTTCTTCCTGTTTTGTCTGATGTTTTATAGAATATTTAAATTCTATAAACCGCTCTCTAATACAATAATTAATTTTTGAACGAATCGGGACGGTTTTGAATAATACATTAGTAGTTTTCGTGTAGTGAATATTAAATTGATTTAATAAAATGTAAATTATTCATATTTTAATACTTTAAGCAATAAAATTTACTTTACTACTACTATTTTTTTCGTTTGTAAATCGTGACAGAGTTTTTTCTGCGACCAAAACAAGAAAAAACAATTGAAAAACTTCACTCCGCTACGTCAAAACATGACTAGAAAGGAAAAATAAGAGAAAAATATCACAATTATTGTGCAGTAAAAATTGGATGTATACACGATAATTCGATTGGAAAAGAGCAAAATGTGACTTGTGGCCTATTTTTCTCGTGAAATGCCAAATACTCTGCGTATTTAGGAAACTTGTAAATTGCATTAACGAACAACAAGGGAATAATTTTAGTAATACCAAAAAAATAAATTAATTTTTGTGCATTTTCTTTCATATATCCATGTATAATACATAAAAATTCTTCTATTTATATAATCGATTTTTAACTTATTTCGACGAGAAACGAAACTTTTATCTATCACGTTATACATCTCCCTCGAATCGAAGTGGAATATTTAAGAGAATTTCACGAAATATCGAATAAAAGAAACGTTATTTTCTCCTTTTAAATTAGTTTTTTTATCGAAAGAAAAAAGAAACTTTTTTTTAAAAGTTGTCGAAAGAAGTTGAAACAAGAGCAAGATGAGTTAGAAAAATCGAATTTCAAGTGCTCGATATCTGAATCCAGATGGAGATTTAAAACTAAATTTATATAATTTAAAAAATAACTAGAAAGATAAATAAAATAAAAACGAAGATTAACTTATATTTAGATAGTTTTTTTTTTTAAAGATATAATTCAATTCTACTTACACAATACAACAGCGAGTTGTCTCTCACATGGGGAAGTGATCAACTATGATAAAATTCGTGTCATGCTACCCAATTTTGTAAGGATTTACAATAGTCAATAAATAGCTATAATTGGTCAGAGTTTGATTCATTGTGTTTAAATATTGAAAAATAATAATAATAATAAATATTATTTTTTATACTTGTCGTCACAGATGATGCGCATCGCGTGTTGATAAGTTGATCTTCAGCGTGAATTTTTTTTTCTTCTTCTTCTTCTTTGATGGATTTGCCATTGAACGATTATCTATCTGAAAGAATTCCTTATTGTTTAAATGAGGATAATCTGGGTCAAAAACGATTCGTGGCAGGACAAAGATTCGCTCCAATAGTTCTTAAGGGTCGGGTCATCGTCATCACGTGATTCGCACATTTATTTTTTTTTTTCTGTCTTATTTTATTTTACTATTCACGTGTAGAGAGTAAAGGAATTTATTAAGGATGTTAAAAAATTTTTTGCAATTTTATACATCCGGACCTTTTTTTTTTCTTCTTATTTTTTAATTTTATAATGCGTAACGAATCGATGAATGACCTTTTTTTCTATTGATTTGACTACAAAATTGCTTTAAAAATTAAAAAAAAAATTCGAGTTTAGTATCTCCTGATATTGAAACACACGTTTTTTAGAATTTAAAAATCGATTTTTATTAAAAATTTATATCTTTTCTGCTACTAGAAATGTTTCAATTTTCTCATGTATATAGGATATTTATTGAAGTATTTAATTCTTATCCTATATATAATTATTAAACAATAAATCTACATCAACATTAGTTTAATACTTTAGATCAGAGATTCTCAGTGGACTACTGATGCCATCTTGACCAAATCATTTTTACCAAAATATATATTTCTATGCTGTTTACTTAGAATAAAGTACATTTTTATGCATCACATATCTCTCACTTTAGGTTACAGGATAAACAAGACATTGTGACACGTATCTAAAGATAATATTTACAGGATAGGAAGCGGAAGGGGACAAACGTGATTCATGGTTCATCTGCGATTCGAATAACTGATAAATCACTGATCTATAATGAGGATAAATTTATCGTGTATTAGCTCCGTAAAGCTCATTTCTCTCACGTTTTACTTAATTAGGAAAAGAGAAATCTAATTGTGTTTAACCCCAATAAAGGAAATCACACTGTAACTGCCCTATATATATATATATTTTTTTTTTGCTCTATCTTCTAAATGTTTAATGTTAATTTAACCCTTCTTAACATTTTCAACAACACAATTAAGTTAATGATTTAACAGCATTTTTTTTTTCCTTTCTCAACTTAAACTAGAGAAACTTTATTGCTAATTGCCAAACTCTTGACCTGGTTCTTTGTAACTAAAACTCTGATTCGTAACAGAATAAAAATCTCTCTGACTTAATCTCTCGATATTTCACATTACG